GCAGATAGTATAAAAATGTTAGTTCCCTGACATTTTTATACTATTTGCCATTCTAAAAATGTATTATCATTAATAATAATAATATTATTATTATTTATTGTTATTTTTATTATTACCACTATTATTGGACCTTTTAAAACACTGATTTATATTACTCCAACAACTATGACCACCATCTTTCATCCTTCTGCTTACTCTCCCTTCCTCTTTCTCTTCTAATATCAGCCCCCATTACCATGGCAGTGCTAAATGAACCCCACAGGTTTGGTTCTTTCAAATAGAATACTGATAATACGTAATCTGAAATATGCAAGTGGCATGTTTTGATGTACAACAATTGTTTATGATCAGATTTTTGTTCTTAGGGCATAATGCTTTAATTAAATTTTCACAGAATCCAGAGAAGAGAGTGGCAACATGTCTGCTGATGTGGCAGAGGAACTGGTCTTCTACTGTACAGATGACCGGTTTTTCTTAGAACCAGTAAACTCCAAGCAACTCATGGTAATAGATCGGGTCAGCCATGAAATTGTTCTGGAGGAAAATAGTGGTCAGATTCCCTTCAGTGCTTCAAGGAAGACTGTGTATGGAGTAGTAGGAATTATCCACTTGATAGCTGGGCCATATCTAATTTTAATAACTAAGAGGATGAAAGTTGGCACTCTAAATAAACAGACAATATGGCGCCTAGAGGATACGCAAGTTATACCTTATGCTAGGTCAACCACTTCCCTAACTGCTGAACAAAAAGTATACAATGACAAATATCTAGCCATGCTTCAGCAAGTTTTATCAACTCCATACTTTTATTTCTCATACACCCATGATTTAACACACACGCTACAGAGACTTTACTATACTGCTGAAGATTTTTTGCAGATGGCACTGCACGAGCGTGCTGATGTAAGATTTGTTTGGAACCAGCACTTGCTGAGAGACTTGTGTGTTCAACCAGAAATAAATGCATTTTGCCTTCCTCTGGTCCATGGCTTCATTTCCATCAAGCAATGCAGTATTAATGGTGAGTGGTTTACTTGGACTTTGATATCTCGTAGGAGCGTTTATCGTGCAGGCACTCGTATGTGGATGAGAGGCATTGATCCAGAAGGTACAGTTGCCAATTATGTTGAAACTGAACAGATAATTGAGTTTAGGGACTTTAGATCATCATTTGTCCAGACAAGAGGGTCCATTCCCCTCCTTTGGTCTCAAGAGCCGAACCTTAAATACAAACCTGAACCTTTAATTGGCAATGCTAACCATGAAGAAGCATTTACACGGCACTTTGAGTCTCAAGTGCTTTGCTATGGAAAACAAGTTGCAATTAACCTGATAGACCAAAAAGGGGTTGAAGGTAAGTTGCATGAGGCATTTAAACATTTGATTGAGACCAGTGTCAGACAGATGATAAGAGATAATGTAAAGTATGAATATTTTGACTTTCATCATGAGTGTCGTAAAATGCGGTGGGATCGGCTAAGCATCTTAATGGATCGTGTAGAACCTGACAGGGAATCTATGGGCTACTTCCTATTTCGTGATGGAGTAGTTCTTTTGGAGCAAGAGGGTGTATTTCGCACCAATTGTATAGATTGCTTAGATCGTACTAATGTTGTACAGTCCATGTTAGCCAGGAAGCAGTTGAAATCTGTCCTAACTCGAATGGGAATTCTTAGTGAAAATCAGAAAATAGAAGATCAATTCTCCTTTGAAGGTACATTTAAGAATGTTTGGGCTGACAATGCTGATATTTTAAGCATTCAGTATTCAGGAACTGGAGCACTAAAAACAGATTTCACACGCACAGGAAAACGAACTCATGTGGGTCTTTTAAAAGATGGATGGAATAGTGCCATTCGATACATAAAGAACAATTTCTTTGATGGTGATAGACAAGATGCGGTGGATCTTTTCCTTGGCAAGTATCAAGTTGAGACAGGTGAGGGTGCCTCACGATCCTGCCCACTTAAGGAACACAGAGACTCTCGACTTCTGTTACTGCCGGGAGCTGTTTTTATCTCTCTACTTATGGTGTTTGCATGTATTTTGCTTCCCTCGGACTATACATCATTTACACTCTTATCCCTTCTTTTCTGGGCAGCCATGACTGTGGTTGCTGCTATTGCTACACTCATGCAAGGTCGGCAACTAGTTAATGCACCACGCTTAAGTTTGTCTACACTCAAAAACCTCACAGCTCCTCCTAGAGTTGGGTAGCACATCTAAGGTTGTGGAGATGTAAACAATCTTACCTTAAAACAGTTTATTCATGAGTTGTGTGTGATATACATATGTTTATGTATATATACTTTTATTTTTGCATTCATGTGTGTGTACATGTCTGAATACAGGACACCATGAGTGTTTGTTTTGTTCCAATTGCTACCAACACACACACACCCATTAGGTAATAAAAAAGACAAGAGAACATTAAATGTAACCAGGAGAACTAAAAAAAAAGCAATGCTGAAAGTATTCAAAAAATAATACATTAGTATAAAAATTTTTTATTAAACAGTGGCGAACAGTTTGATCTACATATCAAGAAAACTTTGAATAGGATTAAAGGGAGAACAAATGCAACTAAAAAAATTGAGATCAAAAACTGAAAGGGGAACCCTTTTCCAACTTTGTTTCGTAGTAAAAAATAGATAATTATGCAAATAATCAAATGATACAAATAGCAGTAATTCAACAGATTGAATGATTTAAAAATACAGAAACTGATAAATTAGTAGAGTGATACACCACGGTTAGTAAATTCTTTTTATCCGAGGCATTTTGTGGAAAATAATAGCAATGCTTAGCAAAAAAAAAGTTTAAAAAACCATACACAAAATAGAATTTGGCTGTCATTCAGGGAATGGTATTCATTTGAACGTAAGCTTCCAAAAATTGTCAGTAATGTCATTTTGTAAGGGAAATTTCATTGCAAATATTTTATTCATAGTTGAAAAAATTGTAATTGTTTGGGAAAATACATACAGTTTAATAACTGTTAACAGTCATTAAAAGGGCCCATCCAAAAAGAATTAATGCTGGTTTTTATAAATGTCTTAATTTGTTGTTATAGAAAAACTTTTTTTTTTTATTAAGTAAACTATGTACACTAGAACTTAATTTTTAAAAATATTGCCTTGTTATCTATTTTTCCCACATTAGTACAAATTGATATTTAAGGGTACCTAATGCTTTGTAAATTTGTTTTTCTAACTGCACGGGTTACTTGAATTATAGGGTGTTTCCCATTGATTAAGCAAAATATTATTTTAAAATTTTATTTAGTTTTGAATGACTGAAAAATTTTTAAAAGTTTTTCATAAAGTTTATGTGTTGGCTAGTAGCTTTCCTGAAATAGGGTACTACCTTTTTATTTATGGGGCAGTGCAGTATAAGAAATCCCTGTATGATGCATTTTTGGAAGACTTGCTAGGGGGAATCGTATTTTCGTGATGGGGGAAAAAATTTTATTACATAATTTTTTTGCTTTTAAAGTAATTTAAAAATTTTAATTTTTATGGATTATTTAAAATAAAGCAAAAGATGATACATTACGTTAAAATTTTGCAGCTGAAAAAAATTAAAAGCAAATTTTAAAAGTCAAGTGTTGGGCAAGATCTCCCAAATTTTTGGGAAAGAAATTTGCCCTATTATGGTTTCTTTAAAATGCCCAACTTTTTTCTAGAAAAGTGCATTAAATTTTGCTTATTATGACGTTTGTACCAAAGATTTAGAATGTAATACTTCACAGAATTAAAAGTCCTTTTGGTATCAAACCATGATATGCTCTTTTTATTTTAATCACTGTTTGTCATGAAAGTTATTTTTTGAGATTTCACTTCAGATTTTTCACTGTGGGTTGGGCAGGGTTGGTCATGAGTTTAGATTCATTTAGCCCCGATAAATCTGAACTTTGGTACTTGGGTGCAGTTTCATTAGATTTTCACTGGGGACAAGCAAAACTAGTTTAATTAACTAGCCTTATGATATTTCCATCATTTATGACTATTAAATCAAGTGTAAGAGTTTTTAATTATTTTCAGTGAATCTTTTGCATTTAATGAGAAGCAAAATGATGTTTTTTATAGTGGTTGTATGTATTTCACCAAGGCAGAGTTACACTTAAAATGATGGTTTCGACTTTTGTCATTCCAAAATTAAAAGAAAGACCAGACAATATACATGTAACAGCATAATTAATTTTATAAAATATGAATATTACTGTTGTTAAGTTATTTTGCTGTCCATTTTGTAAACCTCTGCATATGATTTCCTGCAAGCAATGTGGATTGAATCTATAATCTGAATGATGGTGGGAATATAGAATGCATATTAGTGTAGTACATTTTTTTATTGCTTTGTAATTGGTAATGTTGGAGAATATTTTAAATATTGTTTTCCTTTTTTTGAGTGCTACTGAATAGAGATTAATACAGAAAGGTTAAAATAGTATAGTAGCATAGTATTCATTTTTTTTTCCTCCAACAAGTCTGCCGTCTCCCACAGAGGCAGGGTGACCCAAAAAGAAAATACTTTCATCATCATTCAACACTTTCACCTCACTCACACATAATCACTGTTTTTGCAAAGGTGCTCAGAACACAACAGTTTAGAAGCATATACGTATACAGATACACAACATATCCCTCCAAACCGCTAATATCCCGAACAGTATTCATATCCATAATAATAATAGTACAGTTGCAAAGAAACCAGCTATTATACCAATTCTTACTGAGCAGTTAATTTTAAACATGAAATACAGTGGGACCTCGGTTTTCGTATGCCCTAGTTTGGATGTAAAACTAGTTAATCTCTATAAAATGTATTTTTTGTTATTATTTCTCATAAATAATATAAATCCAATTAATCCATTCCAGACACCCAAAAATATTAACAAAAAATACATTTTATAGAGAATAACTATAGTTTATAGAGGGGCAACTGATATATCGGATCATTATCTAGTTGTAGTGGGGGGTTGAAGAGGGTTGGAATTGTTTTAAAAATGCAGTATTAGAATGTGGGGCAGAAGTTTGTGGTTATAGGAGGGTTGGTGCAGGAGGAAAGAGGAGTGATTGGTGGAATGATGAAGTAAAAGGTGTGATAAAAAAGAAAAAGGTAGCTTATGAGAGGTATTTACAAAGTAGAAGTCTTATAAGAAGAGTAGAGTATATGGAGAGTAAAAGAAAGGTGAAGAGAGTGGTGAGAGAGTGCAAAAGGAGAGCAGATGATGGAGTGGGAGAGGTACTGTCAAGAAATTTTAACGAAAATAAGAAAAAAATTTTGGAATGAGTTAAACAAGTTAAGAAAGCCTAGGGAACAAATGGATTTATCAGTTAAAAACAGAGAAGGGGAGTTAGTAGATGGGGAGATGGAGGTTTTGGGTAGATGGCGAGAATATTTTGAGGAACTTTTAAATGTCGATGAAGAAAGGGGGGCGGTAATTTCATGCATTGGCCAGGGAGGTATATCATCTTTTAGGAGTGAAGAAGAGCAGGATGTGAGTGTGGGGGAGGTGCGTGAGGCATTATGTAGAATGAAAGGGGGTAAAGCAGCTGGAACTGACGGGATCACGACAAATGTTAAAAGCAGCGGGGACATAGTGTTGGAGTGGTTGGTATTTTTGTTTAATAAATGTATGAAAGAGGGGAAGGTACCTAGGGATTGGCGGAGAGCGTATATAGTCCCTTTATATAAAGGAAAGGGGAACAAAAGAGATTGTAGAAATTATACAGGAATAAGTTTACTGAGTATACCAGGAAAAGTGTACAGTAGGGTTATTATTGACAGAATTAGAGGGAAGACAGAATGTAGAATTGCGGATGAGCAAGGAGGTTTTAAAGTGGGTAGGGGATGTGTAGATCAAGTGTTTACATTGAAGCATATATGTGAGCAGTATTTAGATAAAAGTAGGGAAGTTTTTATTGCATTTATGGATTTAGAAAAGGCATATGATAGTGGATAGGGGAGCAATGTGGCAGATGTTGCAAGTGTTTGGAATAGATGGTAAGTTACTAAATGCTGTAAAGAGTTTTTATGAGGATAGTGAGGCTCAGGTTAGGGTGTGTAGAAGAGAGGGAGACTACTTCCTGGTAATAGTAGGTAGTAGACAGGGATGTGTAATGTCACCATGGTTGTTTAATATATTTACAGATGGGGTTGCAAAAGAAGTAAATGCTAGGGTGTTCAGGAGAGGGGTGGGATTAAATTATGGGGAATTAAATACAAAATGGGAAGTGACACAGTTACTTTTTGCTGATGATACTGTGCTTATGGGAGATTCTAAAGAAAAATTGCAAAGGTTAGTGGACGAATTTGGGAATGTGTGTAAAGGTAGGAAGTTGAAAGTGAACATAGAAAAAAGTAAGGTGATGAGAGTATCAAATGATTTAGATAAAGAAAAATTGGATATCAAATTGGGGAGGAGGAGTATGGAAGAAGTGAATGTTTTCAGATATTTGGGAGTTGACGTGTCAGCGGATGGATTTATGAAGGATGAGGTTAATCATAGAATTGATGAAGGAAAAAAGGTAAGTGGTGCATTGAGGTATATGTGGAGGCAAAAAATGTTATTTATGGAGGCAAAGAAGGGAATGTGTGAAAGTATAGTAGTACCAACACTCTTATATGGGTGTGAAGCTTGGGATGTAAATGCTGCAGCGAGGAGGCATTTGGAGGCAGTGGAGATGTCCTGTCTAAGAGCAATGTGTGGTGTAAATATTATGCAGAAAATCCGGAGTGTGGAAATTTGGAGAAGGTGTGGAGTTAATAAAAGTATTAGTCAGAGGGCTGAAGAGGGTTTGTTGAGGTGGTTTGGTCATTTAGAGAGAATGGATCAAAGTAGAATGACATGGAGAGCGTATAAATCTGTAAGGTAAGGAAGGCGGGGTAGGGGTCGCCCTCGAAAAGGTTGGAGGGAGGGGGTAAATGAGGTGTTGTGGGCGAGGGGTTTGGACTTCCAGCAAGCGTGCGTGAGCGTGTTAAATAGGAGTGAATGGAGACAAATGGTATTTGGGACCTGACGATCTGTTGGAGTGTGAGCTGGGTAATATTTATTGAAGGGATTCAGGGAAACCGGTTATTTTATATAACCGGACTTGAGTCCTGGAAATGGGAAGTACAATGCCTGCACTCTAAAGGAGGGGTTTGGGATATTGGCAGTTTGGAGAGATATATTGTGTATTTTTGTATGTATATATGTACTTCTAAACTGTTGTATTCTGGGCACCTCTGCAAAAACAGTGATTATGTGTGAGTGAGGTGAAAGTGTTGAATGATGATGAAAGTATTTTCTTTTTGGGGATTTTCTTTTTCTTTGGGTCACCCTGCCTCGGTGGGAGACAGCTGACTTGTTGAAAAAAAAAAAACTATAGTTTTACATACAAACTAGGGCAT